AAGCCCGGCATGACGTGGTCCTGGCCACGGCTCGGCCAGGGACCAGGACATGGGAGAAGGGGCTAGTTGGGCTGAAGGAATCCAAGCAGACCCAGCCACCACCCACTGATTCTCATTTCTGGAGAAGAGTCACAGAGAAGAAAATTGAATAGTCTGGGTTTTTTTTCCTCCAAAAACTCTTGAAGTCCCTTTTCCTATTACCTCATCTCAGGCATAAAGCTGGCATAGGACTTCATCAGTTCACAGCACCTGGAGGAAATGACTCTATGGGGGATTTGTTTTAGCATTCTCATACATGGAGCAAGGCAGCCCTTGGTGCTGGCCCCGGGGACGAGGACGGTGTCGTGGGGCTGCACGCGGACAGGGGGATCGGGCTGTGCAGGGCTGAGTCTCGGCAAAAGGCAAGAGCCGGGCGAGCAGCCTGAGACCTGCAGGGGAAGAAGCTTCTCCCGGGCCCGGCTCTGCCCCATGGCTCCCGGCTGGCTCAGGAGCCCGGCCGCAGCCTCATTCCTGGGCTCCAGAGGCCGGGAATCGCAGGCCAGACAGCAGGAACAACCTCCACCTGCACACAGACATGGAGGAAGGTTTAGGCTAGAGTTTTTTGGACTCCCTTCAGAAGGGAAGAGAATGTTCCGTGGTGTTTTCATCTAATGCTAATGAAGCTCTTCATACTACATGGACAGATGGTCTCAGTTCTTGGGAAGGGTCTAAATACCCCGCATTTTTTCTTCTTCCAGGAAGAAGCTGAGCTCTTGTGCAGAGCAGCGGCGGTGGCCTCGGAGGGGCAGAGCTGCCACAGGCAGCTCCAAGGCGTCGCCATCAACCTGCACGAGCTGGTGCGACGGGCGAGCGCGGCCCTCCAGGTACGGGCTCCGTTCAGCAGCCCGCGGGCGTTCGCATCTCCCTGCACCTCCAGCCTCTTCCTTCGGCACCTTTTTCCTTTTCATGGCGATTCCACACCAAAAGACCTTAGAGAGGCATTTTGCTCCTTGCTTGGACTCTGCTCCTTTCCAGCCGCTCTGCTCTGAGCAGACCGTCTTTTTGGCAAATTACTCAGCATTTCAACGCTGCGCACTGCTCGGTCCTCTTTGCCGGGGCTCCATCCAGCTCTCTACCTTGCTCCTGTTAGCAGACAAGACCCTGCTCGTACCTCAAACACCCCAGCAAGAATATTAATGGTCTGAATGTCTTTTTTTCCCCTCTCGCAGTTACCGTGTCCAGTGGCAGCAGGCAACACTACCTCACTGAAGCGTTTCCTACAGGACCTGAAAAGAGTCCACCAACGATTAGCAAAAACCAGTCAGATCTGAAGTGAAAGCAACTGGTTTCCTACTGTAATGACACTGTATTTTCAGAGATTATTTATATCTATTTTTAAATAAATGTATTTTTGGACTAAGTTGGCTAACGCTGAATGTTTCTTGGCCAGCACATGAAGAACATAGGAGGCTCTTTGAGTTTCAAGGTGGCAGATGAAGCACCCAGGAGAGCAAGGGAGGGAGATGCCAGCTGTGACACAAGCACTGGGGTGAAGGAGGCCTTAGTTACCAGTCCTCAACCCTTGTGTTGCAGCCTGGCGTGGAGCAAAGGTTGAGAGAAAGAGGGACACGGAGCAAAGGTACCCGCTTGGAGAGACACGTCCAGCCGAGCGGGGCTGGGGTTTGGCTCCATCTCCAGCAGTAGGTGACTGGAGTCTTACAGGTATTGAGGTATCTATCACTTTGCAACTTATTTTGGCATAGCGTGGGAGGGGCGTTTGGAAAGTCCCAGAACTGGCAGGGTTTGCTTTGAGCATCAGCTGAGTCAGAGTATTCTCAAGGGAGCTGCCAAATTATCTGCAGATCACAAAAACACCCTGTTACCTTCTGCACGAGCAGGCTGAGCCCCAAAGGAAGGGAGGCGACGCAGATCAATACCGGGCACACAGAAGAAATGATGCTGAGCACTCATCACACCAGGTACCTTCACGCCATCCGCACTAATACGGATGTGACAGGCTTGCCAAGAGCCACAAGAGAATTAGAAATGCAGAGCTGGGTGAAATCCTCTGCCCATGGCAGCACCCACCTGCATGGGGCTCGTGGCAGCAGCACCGATGCAGCGGGAAGCAGCTGCGTTAGGGGGGATGAGAAGCTGCTCCCAGGGCTCCAGCTCCCTTGGGCTCTCCAGGTGCAGCTTCTCCAAGAAGGGCTGCATGTCAGAGCTGCGCAAACCCTCTGGATCAGCCTTCCTACCATTCCTCCACACTTCCAGTGGGTTAGAAACAGGGTGGAGGCATAAAAGCGAAAAACACAAAGAAAGATGGAACTAGGAATCAAGTATTTTATTTTACGGTATGAACATGCTCCAAGGACACAATGCTGATATATACAAGATAGAGTTTATCAGAAAACTAGGAATAATCAGAAATAAACAGCTTGAAAGCCAATAAATAGGAAGAGAAATTATACAAACAGACTAGTAGTTTTTTTCCTATATACAGGACTGGCTAAACAGAACTGTTGAGAAAGGTGAAAATTAGGATGTGTGCAGACAACAAATTAGTGAAAGGCACTAAGGACGATTTTCCTCTCCTCTTAAACAAAGAAATAATCAGGAACAAGTTAAATATGAAATAATTTAGAACAACATTAAATAACATAAACGCAGAAAAGTTCAGTGTTAATGTTGATGCTCTGGAATGAAAGGGAACTTCTGTCAGCAATATGGGAAAGTGGGTATATACCATATGTGTACATATATATGTGTGTGTATGTATATATGTAAGTTAATATGATATTGAGAAATATTATAGAGCAACTACTGAGCTGAAATCAGAATGGCTGTATTGGCCAAGTCATTAAAAATCAAACAATTCCCTTCTAAAAGGTGTCATGGGCACATCAGACATTCGCAGGTTATCCAGATACAGGGGCTCACAGTAACCTCCAGGACAGGCTCTCTGACAAACAGAAAATCCCAGGGGAGAACATAAAACAAAATATAAAACAGTTAAAAAGAGAAGCCAAAGTCTTCAGCATGGCCATGGTGGTGTTCCACATATTCCATATGGATATATATCCATATATTCATAGGGTGGAGCTCCATATATTCCTGCAGGAGCAAGTGACATGTCCCTCAACACCAGCCTCTCCCGTGACACCCAGCCAGGCTCTCCCAGGGGGCTGCCAGCAGCTTTTCTCCTTGGTGCATTTTCGTGCCCCGAGATGCTCTCGGCTTTACCTGCAGTGCTGCTGTTTGCAGCTGCAGGGCTGCAGCATAAATTCAATCAGGGACCAGCAAATGCCTTCAGAACTTATAAGCATTCTGAATTGAGCGTGATGGCTTCCAGTGACATCTAAGTCACTGATTATCTGTCAGGTAAAAAGGACAACTTACTATAGAATTTTTTTTTCTGTTTTGAAAGCACAAGTCAGGAGAAACCCTCTTAAAAACAGATCCTTTAACAAGAGATCTCAACACAGCAAGACATAACAATGAAATAAGACATAACACAACGAAATACAGTAACTATCCCTGGTTCTAAGAGCTGACACAGAGCAAAATTAAGCATTTATCTGCTTGGGCCATGAACCTACATAAGAAACTCCTACAACAAAACCAGTATGCGAGTCATTTTCAGCCTGTTTTATTGCAAACACATATTTGGTATCTTTACCTTACCCAAGCACGTTCAAAATAAGATCAGCTCTTCAAGGGTAAGTTTAGATTAAACAGAAATTGAGCATTTACCTCTTGAATGCTACAATATATTCACATGTTCCATGAATTTAGGTGACAAAATCAGATGTTTTTCCCCTCCACAAAAGATAGAGAGCAGACGTTCTCCTCAGTTCACAACCCTGAAAGATACGTATCTTGGAAGGCAAGAGAAGGCCCAGGGGTTGTTGGAGGTGTGGAGGCATCTCCCGAACACAACGTGCTGTCAAAAGAGCAGCTTTAGCCACGAAACAAGGACTCCTCGTCTTCCAAACTCTAGGTAACAAAGACTACTAATTAGGCTGATTAACACCACACGGCCGTGGGAATTCTTTGGATACTTGCGACTGATATGTTCGAGCGTGAGTTATTTAATACACAATGTGAAGGACAGGCATTTTCTCCACGACACAGGAGTAATATATTAAAGTGTTATGTATATTAGCAGCATAAATAAAATAAGAACATGAGCAGCTACCGCAAAAAGATGGTTATTAGCAGGGACCAGAATTATTTCCTCATAGCATAACCAGAAACAGATTACAAAGTCTACACACGGACAAGTGCAGCATCAACTATTCCAGCCGATGCCACTGTTCTAGGAAAAGGGGCAATTTATGCCCATTTTATATCTGGAGAGTGAAATTCATCTTCAGTTTATAGAGCACTGGTCCAGTACTCTGTGTCAGCGATGAGGAAATGGAACTGCATTGCTCAGTGTCTGCACAATGAATTTAGACTTTAGCAACAGAGCTTTCTCTTCAAGTGAATCTCTGCTGTCCACATTACAACAAAACAACTCACATAAATTAAAAATTTGCCAGCTTAGTCAGAAGCATGAAAAACAGCCAGAGCAATGCTGCAATTCAGCCTTAAAAGGAAATATACATATATAGTAGCATTTTCTTGCCTTTGCCTCAAAGGCCATTCTCTGTGATGCAAGGAGATTACCCACAAGTAGGGAAGAAAAGAAGAAGAAGAAAAAAAAAAGCAAAACTTGATGTATTTGTTGTGCTGAAATGGAACATTGTCCCTTCCCAGCAGTCTGACACAATTACTCCATCTAGTAAGAGTGCAGAGGAAGGGATAAAAAGAGGGGTGTGTTTCATACACAAAATGATCAGGTTTGTTGCTACAGCGAGGAATATTTAAATAAAAAGGTTTGATGCTCAAAATCAAGTTAACTCATAGCGTTTCAGTAACCACATTCAAATACAGAACAGTGCAACAGAAAAAAAAAAAGAACAGTGAAAGCTGCCAGTTTCTATGTGCAAAGCAGAACATAAATCAGATTTACCAGCTTTAAATTTTAACCAACCACTTTGGGCTAGCATGTCTAGCACTTACACACACATCTAGAACCTGCTTTCTATACACTTCAACAAGGATTGCCAACAACAGTTTCCCTGCACAACACAAAATTGTTTAGCACAGAATTTCACAATTACCGTATATACCAGTTAAACATTATGTTAATATAACATACAGTATATAAGCAACTAAGGATTTTTTTTTTTTTAAATAAAGCTCCATACCAGTAAGGCATGGATTTCATAGCCACTTGGACAAACTGGGCCTGCTCTGTTGGGTTCCATATTCTGGCCAAGCCTTATCCATTCACTGATTTTTACAGCAATTCTGAATCCATCACGCCTACTGCAGCAGAGAGTCAATAACAGCTCCTGGCTTTGCAGATCGTTTTCTGTTTGGAGAGCAGAAAGGAGAGAAAAAAAATGCATATTAATCATCTGGCTGTCCAGGAAAGACAGGAACCAGAAAGATTCCAAATCAAAACCACACAGTATTAACTTTTAAACAAGCACTGACCGAAAACAAAACTAAAGCCCACGCTGAAATCTCCCCCACCAGCCTATTACTTTCCAATAATTACTGTATATGCCCTGTCAACATGTCACTCATTAAACTAATCCAGAGAACAAGCGGCCTGAAGAGGGGAACATGGCAAAGAACATCAGGAGACTCCCCACAGACAAATGTTTCTGGACATTATTTTACCTCAGTAAAGACACTGCAGATCAGTTTTGTTATACTCGGTATTACTAAACTTTACAATATGCTGCATTTTGGCGTTCTGTCTTCTCATTAATGAAAAGCCTTCAAACATCTGCTAGTTAAGTTTGCACACATAAACTTAGGCTATTCCCAGTGAAAATCACCCAGCACATACTGACACCCCAAAATTCTTCACCTTCTCCCAGTTTTTGGCCTGGATCTTCCTTTTGAAGTCCTTGGTCTCTCCAGCTTCAGCAAAGATTGTCTCAGGCTTTCTTCTGTGTAAGCTAGGTAAACATGGGAAAGGTCCACTTCAAAGGGCTAAGGAGAAAAAAAAAAAAAAAAAAGTTTTATGCACTGCAAGCAACAGTTCTTCCATAACACTAGGAAAAAAAATCTCTTTAAACCACAAAAAAAATGCAAATTAGACATATTTCCTGTAAGTAGGCATAGATACTTAAACAGGCACAACTGATAGCAGAATGTAGACCACCATAGTCCAATATATGCTTGGAATAATCACTTACATCTTTTTCCTTTTTATCCAGAACAGGAGTTTGTTTCCTCATGTTGTTTCCTGTATATGCAACACATTTCTTGAAGAATAAAAAAAAAAAAAAAAGACCCATTACTAAAATCCATTGAGTATGCTGCAACTCTGCAGAGTTGTATAAATGTATTTCTGGCTTCAGTTAAATTCCTCGGGAGTTTGGGCTCACATTAATCTGCACATGATTCAATGAGCCAGCTTACCAGCTGCCATTCCCCAATGTCTTCGTTCCAGTGAACATAGTTTTCAATCATTTCCTAGGAAAAAGTTAGAAGGATAACTGTCAGGCTTGCATTATCTGCACTCCAGATGCACCTTCCAAAACGTGCCATCAAAAGCCTGGACAAATTCTTCAAAAGCAGTTTTGACAACTCTGGATTATTTTTAGCATATGGTGTACAAAATACCCTATATGTGTTCTGAAGACAACAGAAGAGAAAACACTAATTAAATGATGCATTTTGGAGTTCCCACTGAAGGGTGGGTTTTCAGTTACGCCAGTGCCAACAGCATACAAGTACTATAACAGGCAAGAACAAAAAAAAAAAAAAAAAAGGAGATAGCTTTTGCATTTTCTAATGATGTGAGTTATATTTTAGCACATCATGCGTTTTATAGATTTTGGATATGTAAGACTAAAGAAAGCAGGAAGTGTACTTTGTACTAATATCAGATACTAGCAACCACAACTTCAAGCACAATAAAAATGAAAAAGGGGGAAAAAGTCAAGTTTCAAACAGATTCAGAGCAAGGGCATGGGGCATACACCATGTACATTTTCAGTACAGTCAAATAGACTTTTTAATACATCAGAGAAATACACAGTAGAGAACAGGAATTACTGCATCACTGTAGTTACAGAAGCCCTGGCCCACGACGCATTATTTCCCTAAAGCAGGTTCTATGATCACGGAATCAAAGTAGCCAGTCATCAAAAACTGTGAGAACGATGACGCAGCCACCCCGCATTCATTATTTCACAGGCTAGTGTAATCAATCAGTCAAGCAAGCTATCTGGGGAGACAAATGCATTAGCTCTGATCATCTTCCACGTGAACTTCAGTTAGAAATCCATCAATTCTTATGATTAACAGTTGTACCTGCTCAGCTGAGCTGCCGCAAAAGGCGGCTCTCAGGCCCACACCAGCTCATCTTGTGGGCAACAACTTAGCAGACTCAGTTCCCTGACAGCACCTCAAGGAAGAGGAAGGAAGCTGACTCATTCCATTTTTGGGAGGACAAAATAAAAGCCAGAGGGCTCAGCACACGTAGCACCTGCCTACGTCAAAGGCTAATATTCTTCATCACTACCTGGTAGTCCTGAGGAATGAAGTTGTCTATGATAAGCATCTGAAGACGGAGTTCCCTGCTCAGCTGCCGAATATTTTCCAGTAATCCTTCGATTTCTCTCTGATGTTCTTGCTGCAAGTCTGCCATCTGCAGACAAAAAAAACAGGCCTTAAAGAGGATTCAGAGCTAGTTTAATATATAGTAACAGTATAAAGAGTCTTTTGCTTGCTTGATGTTTTGTGAAACAAAAGCAAGATTTGTACTTGATAAAAGAAATGGCTATAAGTACTAGAATACTTGCCTCTGAAAATATAAACCACTTGAACCATTCGAGCTAAGAGAAGGTTTAAAATGGCATAAAGTTTTGGGTTTCATTAAAAATAAATTGGCCTTCTGGCAGTCCAAGCTCTGTGCCAGCTAAGAGCAGATCAAGAGTGTGCAGACAAGTTATGTCCTTGGCAAGATCAAGGAGAGTCTCTAATGTGCCAGAGACAAAAATGCACTTTTTGATAAAGCAGGGATACTAGATACTCCTTGCTAAAGGGCATTGACCCAGTGTCATAAAGGAAGAGAGAAAGAGAGCAACAGGCAGGAAGGAAGGAGAGCTAATGCAAAGGAGAATTTGGGTGGTTGCACAGAGAACAGATGAGGCTGCCAGCAGACAACTGCTTTCGTCAGAAATAACCAGTGATTCTCCCTGAAGTTCTGCATGACTCTGTCTCCAACATACTCTCCCAGAACCAGAATAGCTTGGAGAAAAGCTCCACAATGTGCCCTGCACAGCTCTGTTATTAAGCTCAGTTGGCCCTTTCTGAATTACACAAGCTAAAAGAGAAAGCAGAGACATTTCTAAACCCGAGACACTCACGCAGAGTTACAAAGCTTAACTCTTCCCAGCTATAGTCATTCAGGTCAGCACAAGCTGCACTTCAGACACTCACCTCTGATTTTGCAGCCATAAGCATGGTCCAAACTTTCTTCAGCTTTTTAGTTTTCCCCTGTGCTTCTTCCTGAAGGCTGGTGTACTTCTCCTCTATGTCCAAGCGTTCTTGCTGTATGCAAGATTTAGCAGACATCCACAAATTAATACAATATAAAACCCTATATGCTTTTTAGATATGCAATAACATAAACAGAGAGAAAAAGAGTTGAACAGCCTGGCTCACAGCCACAGCAATCTCACCGCTACAAGTCACTGACCCACACGCGAGCACTGCCAAGGCTCTCCCAGGTGCCAGTGGCCTCCCAAGCCATTGGCACCGGCCGTGCTCGCAGGGCAGAGCCACATCTGCCCCAGGAGTGATGCCAACACACAGAGTACAGCCCACCTCCTTCTCCTCGAGCTCCTTGCGAAGCTGCTCTGCTCTCTTCCTTCGTTCTTCCAGCTCCATGTTTGATTCTTCTAGCAGTTTCTCCTGTTCCTCTGCTTTTGCCAGTAAGTCCACACCTCCTACAATCACCTTCTTCTCCAGTGCAGACAGTTTCTCCAACAGGGACTGGTGCTCTTGCCTGGAGAGGGAGGAAGATATGTTAAAGTCAAATGTATCCTATCCTGCAGCGCTTCCAAAGCGGCCAGGCCTGAATCAGTTTTACAGTGCAAACATTTACAGGGCTGGAAAAGCTTGTCTTGCTGCCAAGGGTTTTAGAGGGGGTGAGGCACTGCAAGCAAGCGCACAAGTTCCCTGAACTCCCATCACTTTTATGCAGGCCAGCAGACAAGTCTCTCCTGCTGCAGTTCCCCTCTGCCAGGCACCAACATTATCATCAGCCTCTCTGCCAGGGCCCAGGCAGCCCAGCAGGGCCCAGGGCAGCCACTCAGGCTGCGCAGGACGTGGTGGCAGGGAAGCAGAGGGAAGGGCAGCTCTGTGGGCTGTGCTTTGAGGGACCTCACAGCAGGGCTGCCCCATCTGCATGGGCCACAGCAGATGCTCTCCACATCTCACAGCTCTCAGCAGCTTTCCAACTCAGTGCACAGAAGCCCCAGCAAAGGGAATTCCCTCTTGCACCAGTGTGCACAGGGCACCTGACTTGCTAGAGAGCTACTGTGAGTTGCCCAAGCAATAAAATAACATCACACTCTTTCCAGGGCTCCAGAGCTGGAAGGGTGCATCCGAGTTCCTAGGCCATGTTTCTAGTAGATGAAGTTTGTGGCAGAAGAATAAAGCTGTTTTTTTCATCTGCTCTAATCTCTGAAAGCATAAAGGAAGCTGCTCTATCACTCTGATAATAGCAAGTGCTGAGGTTCATTTTATAAAAACTCTTACAGGCACCTCCCCATATACACAACTAAGTTCTGGATTAAGGAAAAAAAATCCACAACTGCACAAACTGCTCAGAGCAAGATACTCACTGAGCTTTAAGCAAATCTTTCTCTCTCTTCTCCAGTTCAGCTCTGGCTTTATTTCTTTCTTCTTCTTCCATATCAAGCTTGGTTTCAAGAGCTTTTCTCTCCTCTTCAATCTTTGCTTGCATCTCTACCATCTTATCAGGGGAAACTTTCTTTTTGCCTTTAAAAGAGGCAAATTAGTTAGACGTCAAAACAAGAGTTATGCCCAGCTTGGAGCCTCTGCACCTTTCAAATGCCATCATAACTCTGCCCAATTGTAACTTTTATAAATTTAAGCATATCCTATTAGTATTTATATAAAGCAATCTCCTGCTATATAAGCCAGTAATATAAAACAATATCTATAAAGTAATCTAACTATTAACAGAACAGATATATTTTCTACATATATAATAAGAATGAAGCCCCAAGAACACTCACATGAAGAATAAAACCTTGTGGGGAAGGAACACTGGCAGCAAAGAACCCTGCCTAAAAATCAACCTGAGCTAGAAACTCAGAGCTCAATGCTCTAACTTGTTCTAACTTAGGGCCAAATAAAAGCACACAGAATATTGCCTTAAGTTACATCTTCAAAAATTTATGCTAACAAGAGTTACTTGCAAGTTTCAGATAGGCATTTTTCTTCCTTTCTCCCTTCAAATACTCTTGCTCACTGGCCTCCTTACAGGGTTATCTATTGCACAGTCAGAAAACAGATATTCTAAGAATATATCAATGTGAAATTAGAGACCAGGGAAATTCAGAGCAGCCCTATGAAGTGACAAGCCATAGGAGAAAGCTTTTGGATGCTGTCTTATCTATATGACAGTGACTACCCACAGATCTGAAAGCAGTGAGATTTGCTGTTACTTATCAGCTGAGTCTTTAAAGTGTAACTACCGCTAAAGGAACGAGTTACAACTGATAAGGGTTGCAGTGGAGGCAGGCAGAGCAACTCACTGAACCCAGCAGCCTGAAGGACTGTTTCCAAACTGGGGATTTTGGAAGAAAAAATTCAGGTCGTGACTCAGAACTCATCCCACACGCCTCAAATTAACTTTTGTTATTGCTTACGTCCCCAGGGCAGGTGAACACAGGGCTCCTTGGGGTTATTTGCAGTGAGAGGGAGCACAGCTTATGTGGATTTCTTAAATTCCCTCTTACTCACTACAAAGAGATGGATCCTTTATTCTGTTCTTCTCCAGATGCAAGAAAAACTCCCCATAGTATCCAAGCGCCTAGAATCTCACAGAAATCATCTACTATGAAGGGACCTTTTATCATGAAATATCCACCATGCTTAAAATGTTTTTGAGAAAGACAGGTTTGTTCCATAAAAACCTCTGCAATATTATTTTTTTTTCCCATGGCATTCAATTTTCTATACATATGATCCTCTGTAGAGTGTCACAGGTGTGCCTGTATTTAAAAACATGCATGTGCACGTACATGTATTTTGTTCACGGACACACACAAGAGAATATGTGAGTTTTGTGGCAAGGCAAGGCCTTTAGCACTAGGGCAAACACTGGTTTAGGTTCCATTTGCTGAACTTTGAAGCCAGATAATAAGCACTTATTTCTGGATGTGTGGTGAAGAGCTCACCAGCTCTTCTGTGGACAAGAGGCTTCAAAAGTTTGGGCTTTCTGGGAAACAAAGATGTACAGAAATCCTCAAATAAAGAGATAAGGTGAAGGCTCCTTACCTGTCAGCACACAACCCCATACATTCTCAATTTTAGGACAGAAAACAAACTAGATATAGTTGTAAGATCCTTTAACTAGCTCTGTAGCTACATTATACGGAGTTGGAAATCAGTTACACCAACCTGCTTGATCTTGCAGGGAGAGGGAGCAGAAAGCAAGTCGCAGAGAGGCAGCATGTTTGGAAAGGGGAGGAAAGAGAAGATTCGTTATTGCTTGATCGCTTCAGACAAAGCTCATCAACATCAGAACAGTATTTCATATGCTTATTTCTAGAGTAGAAAACACGGAATCATCATTAAGAAACAAGACTCCATCACAGCAAACAGTGCACTGTGATTTTATGCTCAAGCAGAGAAATTTTCTGTACTAAAGAAAAATGCATCTCCAGGATAATCTTGAGTTTGCTCCTGCATACTCCTGCCCGCTCAATGCAGTGCAGAATCTAAAGGCAACATTATGAGTCTGCCGCAAAGATCATGCTCTAAGAAACCAAAGACAGCAGATTTCTTATTGAATATGGGATTTTTTTCCAAAGTAGCCAAATCTGTTAGATTAGCTGCAAAACCTTATTACTCAAAGAACTTGTTCTAAGATTAAATCCAGTTTCTGAGCTAATTCTTTGCAAGTTATGGCAGTTGCACACGCAGCCTCAGCAGATGACTTCTCTGTTTAGTTACACGGGAGGGTATTAGTAGGTTAATTTGCAGTAACTGACGCTTCCATGGAGGTATACAGCCAATTTTCATTATTCAAGCAAGTGCAACAATGCAGTGGGGACAGAGAAAAAATGAGACACACCACATGCAAAAAGGGGCACACGTGAGGACAGTTAATATCCCAAAGCACATAAGTCAGCCACAGTTCTCCCCACCATCAAGAGCCCAAAGCAATTTCCACAGCAGAGCTCATTCCACCAACTTATGGGAGATGGACTGATTCACTCATTGCCAGCAGTTTGTTATTAACTGTCCTCATCCCAATAGTCAGGCTTCAAGCAAGCTTAGAACAAATTTAAAGCAAGCAGGAATCCAAGCCTACAATAATTTGATCTACTAGAGGTCTTCCTGAAGTTCTGAGCCTTCCTGACTGCTCTCACACTCTCTTAGCTGCCACCTTCCACTAGGGAGGCCAGTGTAACTTCTGTGGAAGTATAACCAAGGAGCAAGACTCCCCAGACCCTCCACACCTAGCACAGGGAGGAGGCTGTGTCCACACAAGGAACTACCTCAGGGGCCATGTTCCTACAGGCCACGCCTGGGATTTGATTTAGCTTTGGGTTTTTTGCCTCCTCTCCAAAGCCATCTCTAGGTAATTGTAGGGTTTTAAAGGTAAAAAAGCCTTATCTGTGATGAGCAGCAGTCTAGAGCTCCTGCACATGTAGCCCAGAATCTCAATTTCTCGTTCCTTTGGGTACTAGGCCTGGCAGTGGCCAAGCACTCCATATAGTTGGGCAGTTAAACTTCTTTGCATTTTGGTAAAAGTCTGCTGAAGTAAAGCCAAACAAAACACCCAAGGTTTCCCTGCAGGTATAAAGCTAATGTAGCTTTATTGCTATTGACCATTTCACTCATTCTCTCCAAACCTAATAGGGAAAATAATCTATCATAACTGTGACAACTAGGCCTAGAGTCGGTTGGGCTTTCTTAAATGCTCATATTGCATCATTTCCCATAAAAAAAAAGAGTTTCCTATGGCTTATTTCCTGACATGTTTAAGGAGGGAATGTTCAAAACACAGAAACTGCAAGGAATGTGCTGTTTTTTGTTTTTTAAACACCGTGTTCCCCAATCTTCTTTAGGTCTTATTCAAGCAACATGCTAAATTGCTTCATATTCTTTCAAGTATGTAGCTCACAGTATGCATGTTAAACTACTGTTTCAAGCATGGAAGCAGCAAAGGAAAAGCATGCTTTAGCCAAGTGATCAGCTCAGGTTTATCCTTCCAATAGGCACAGCAGGGGAAGAGTGGCATTGCAAAATGGAGTGTGCAGATCATGAAAAGACCAAAGCTGAAAGGACCGAAGAGCTCCCACTCACTAGTGAAGGACTTATCCAGAGGTTTCTCTATGACAGAGCATGTGGAGTCTGAACTACTGCTGCTGCTACTGCCTGGAAAACAGAGATGAGCCCCACAGAAAACCCCCAGAGAAGAAGAAACATGCAGATGGAAGTTAGTTCTAAAGGAAAGAAACCCAGAAAGGCAGACTGGTTCAAAAGGCACATCTTTCTATAAGGAAGCATTTGCTCGGATCCCTCCCAGACTCAGCTTGCAAAGCCACCACTTATCAGCACAAAATAGCATGCTCAGAAAGACAGTTCAGTTAAAACCCATCTTAACCAGCCTATAACTTAAAACAACATGCCAAGGCTGTTTCCATCATAAGCAACAGCACAGAAAACCAAATCACACTGGAGAAGGCCACAGACATCAGCAGCAGATGGTTTGGTGACCAGGAGCCCTTTCCAGTCCTACACACGTAGCAATGTGCACTATTCCCTCTGGAAGGCAGGACCAGCTTCCTACGTGACACTTACTGAGCACACCCCTGCTGAGCAGGGCCCTTGCTTAGGGGACTCAGAGAAGTCTTTTTGGAAGCTAAGTCAGAGCCATCTGTCCTTTAAATGTTTTGAGTACCATTTTGAGTATGGTCCATTCTTGGGAGGACTGTGGAAGCAGAATGGGTGTCAGCTTTTCAGCCAGCACACAGACACCCCAAAGTCAAGTTTTTTCCTCTAGCAATACGAAGTAAGATTAAATAGGACACTAGAAGAGTCAGTTACATTCAAAACACAAACGAATCTTTTGCCTATACCATAGCTAAAATTCCCCTCTAACCATTCCCATGGTTATAAAAAACACATCTTCTACCACAGATCTTTGGTGTCCTCCTCCCACCTCTGTGAGAGGGTGAAGTTCCATAATAAAAGTGCTTGAAATCAAAGTACCAAGCCACACGCAGCCACCCTGTAGCAACCACGGAATCACCATGTAAGAGGATGTCACCACAAGCACAGCTAGCCAAGTGGAAGCAGACAGCACGCAGCCTGGGAGCTGCTCACGTGACAGCAGAGAGGTTCATTTTTCAAGAGACATGATAATTGCAGCGGAACGGGGGTAGCTCCCCAACTGCACTTCTGTCCCTGTGGCTCTGGCTGCCATTTCTGACACCAGCTGCTGGAAAAGAGGAGGTTGGTGGCACTAAGAGCTACCAGGAAATGCTATTGCCTTACCGCGTCGCTTCTTCCGCTTTTCTCCATCCTCTCCAATCTCCCCATCATCATCGTCATCCTCTTCTTCAGAATCACTGGTCTCAGAGCCAGAAATCTCTTCTCCTAGAAGAGAAGGGTATGCTTTTTGATGCACTTTCTCTCACCACATATTGTGACAGCAGCATTTGCCCAGAGCCAGCAGGATTTGACATTAGCTGTTGAGCAGCTACAGAAGTTACTAACTGCTGAAAGCACAGAAGGCTCACAGTGACTCAGGAAATCCAAGACAAGCCGCACAGGGTTGTGAAGTCAGCATATTTAAAGCTCAAAGGGGCAGTTTTAGTTGGAAATTAAGCATTCTTGGACTATTGAGCAGTTGACCTAAGAAGTTTTGCTAATAAGACCTCCCAATGTCTTCACTGCAGTCTGAGACACAGGAGAAAACATTCAGAGGAGCAAAGTTCACTCATCCTTGCTACTTTAATGTACATCTGCACACATGAAACTGCATAGCTGCTAATTAAGAAACGGGCCTGCTCCATAAGCATTTTTAACCATTGTCACTATTGCAGACATCATGCTGAGATGTTTCAGACTGGATCTGGAAGCCAGATGGAGCAAAATCCAGCATTTAGCACGCGGACCGCCCAGCACCATTAGAACCATAAGGCTGACTGTTCCATAGACTGGGGTTCCAAATTAACAAATAAACTTTTCGCCCACCATGGGGTGGAAATCCCTATACTGAGCTCCTAATTCGCAACGAGTTGCTGATGATTCCCACTTCCCCTGAATGGGGGAGGTTTCAGGCAGCCATGGGAGTTCCTGATACAGCTGTTCTGCAGGGAGGGAAAGCAGGAAAACAAAGAGGACGTTATTTAACGCCCTTCTGTTCCCAGAGACCCCTCCTGTTTGCCCGGCTGCCCCAAGGCTCCCCTGGGAGCCAAGACCTTGTGCTAGGGCCAAGTGCCACCTAGCGGGCAAGGCAGATGGGGCACGTCTCCAAAAAGAGACTTTTCATACCCAACAGAATGAGCCCTGGTGCAGAAAGAAGCACTAGGAGCAAAGGGGGAATCTCACCTTCTTCCAGTTTCTTTTTAAGCTCCTCAATTTCCTTCTGGAACTGGCGGAGCAGAGCATCTTTGGGGTCTTCGTTAATTCTGGCCTTGTTTTTGATGTTCTTGGCTCGGTTTGCGTACCTGAGGGTGCTGATGGTCTCGTCATAGTTGTAGTCTGCGGGGCCGATGTTCGCACACTGTCCCACACCAAAGGAGGGAGCAGAGGACAGAATTAGACACCATGAATGGCAGAATCCAGAACAAATAATTTTAGAGAGGCCTCTCCTTCACCCTGCTAGTCTCAGTGCCATTCATTCCCAAACTTTCCTGCTGCCTCCACACTAAGGTGTTTCTACCTACCCAAGCACAATTTCTGTTTGATCTCATGCACATTTGCACTGTGTTGAGAGCCTCTTGTACATAGGCAGAGAGAAAGGATAGAAAAAGCACATAAAAGGTTTTCTCAACTGGGAAGAGCTCTGAAATAAATAAATGAATGTCAGGCTGTTTTCATGACAAATTCCTCTTTCCTGTCAGAGCACAGCTTGAGCCCCGATGCTGGCAGGGGCTGGGCAGGTTGATCTTGGTAGCTTCCTTCAATCGCTGTCCTGTGGCTCCAGTTTTTGCCTGCCTTTCAGAGCCCTGCAAAGGGAATAACAGGAAGCAGATCCACAGGGAAAACGCAAAAGATACCCTAGTCCACTCCCCTTCCTCAATTATACATAAGACGAGGTTGGCAGACATGTAATCAACCACCTCATCTCATTGGAGACCTAGCTAATTACACCACATATGGTTAAAGAGACAAGTCAAACAGGTCTTAACTGAAGCTTTCAATTCCATCAGATTCTGGACTGTTCACAATAAACCAGTGCAACTGGAGAAAAAGGCATATTACCCTAGAAGCAAAAATGTGATGCTTAATGGACACCTCTGGTGCAGCTGTTAAATGCAGCTGAAGAGCAAAGCAACACTGCAGTTGTTTTATAGGGAGCTTAACAGACCCATCTAAATACACATCATATAGATAAATAATAAATAAGATGCAGGCATTCAGCGCCATCAGCCTCCCCTTTCCTTTGTACCTTTATAGCATCCATCCTTGGAGGAGGTAAGGTCTGAGCCACAGAAAAGCATTTCTCTAGTGCAGCTACACTCAAAGAGGGTGAAACAGGGGAGGGAGGGAGCTTGGGAAGAGGGAAACTGCAAGGTCACAACCCTCTGACACGGTTACAATAACAAAAACACTCTTGCAAAGAGCTGGGTCTGCTGCCCAGGGTGCTCTTTCAAGTGCAGCTTATCCATCTGATGCTTAAGTTGTAGAAGAGAGCCCTTTCATTAGGAAAAGTTCTAGTCACACTAAAGCATTTGGCAGGGCTGGCTTAAAGCCCTGAGGCAAATGCTCCACAAGCAAAATGCCAACAAGTAACCTGGGCTTTAGCAGCGAGACGGGCCACGCTCTTTACGCAGCCTGTAAAGTCAGAGCCTCACACGGTGATTAGGCGAGCAGCAACCCGCAGCCCCACGCGCGACGGCAGAGCTGGCTGCTCCCACTTACCAACAAGCAACCTGGGCTTTAGCAGTGAGACAGGGGCCACGCTCTTTACGCAGCCCGTAAAGTCAGAGCCCCACACAGTGATTAGGCGAGCAGCAACCCACAGCCCCACGCGTGACGGCAGAGCTGGCTGCTCCCACTTACGGCGAGGTCCACGAGGTGCAGCTTGCCCATGCGAACGTGCATGTTGCCATCGACCCCCTTCTCGCTGCACTCGATGGTGATGGTGAAGATGGCGTGCGAGCGGGAGCTGTGCTCGTTCATGTTCGTGGCACCAACAGAACCTTCGGTTGGGAGGAAGGGAAAGGGCAATGTTGTCTGCAGAACAAATCACATGCTCCCAAACACTTGTTGTCAAAGCACTTGTCCCTGCCTCTGCCCAATCCTGCTTATCGGGGGACAGAAAAGGGATGCTCTGGCTCAGTCACAAACTGCATTCGTGGGCTTTGACACTGCAGCACATCTCCAGTCTGGATTGCTGGAAGCATTGCTGCCTGCTCCAGTTTCACGCATATGGCAAGCTCCCATTCTCAAAGGAGTGAAAGTTCCCATTTGCTTCTTTTTAAATCAAAAAAAAACCAAATAGCCTAAGATGGACCTGGAAATTGCTATATTTAAAAAAAAAAATGAGATAAAGCAATTGTTGTGCCAGGAACAACAGTAAGGCAGAGTGTTGCTCTGTAAAAGGATCTGGGCTTAACCAAGAAGTCTTCAAGAAAGCACAAACCACTTCCTAAGCATAGCACTACATCAGGCTAGCTGCTGTTCACCCTGATCAGAGCTGGAAGAGCAGAAGAACCAAGACAGTTGCCTTTGCCATAGGGCAGCCCCTTCACTAGGGCTGACCGACGTGGGAGACGCCGGCCTGCTCTACCTATCCTTGCTCCGAAGGGGTTCAGAAAGAGAGATCCTTTTTGCTCTGCTCAGCTGAGCAAGCTTTCCTGTATCAGGACTAGCAGTAAAACCTCCTACTGGGCTAACTCACTACCAACTCTTCACTCTGCAAGGCAGTCTGACACAGCATAGCTAAAACCCTGCCCACAGCAATGCTACGTACGGTTTTTGTGGCCCAGAGTCATGATTCTGTCCATATCATCTGCATTGTTTACGACATAGGCTGATAGGTCTTTGATATAAACTCCCACATCAGGTCTCTCTTTAACCTAAGAGAGAAACAGTTTAGATGGAGCATCCTTGGGAGAGCCCTTAATAGCAGTTTTCAATGACACTCTAACAATACAGTAATTTACTCCTCCAGGTTTTTGTCTGGACAGAAAACACTCCAATGCTCTGAACTGGAGCAGCTAAGGAAGAGTCATGCAGGACAATATTGCACTGGTTTCCCCCTGGTGGCAAACGGTGACTTCAAATCACACCCTCTAATTTCTACAACTATTGTCAGGGATGTCTAGGATGGAACTGCACACACTCAAATAAAGCAAGACAACTTCTCACTACACAGCTGACCAAAGGGAAAGGATTTAGAGAAGTCAAGAGACTGCAGTTTTAGAGTTCCAGCTACTGCATCTCTAAAAAAGTAGCACTGTGAGGAGCTCAACCTTCCACTCCTCCTTCAAGAGCTGTCTCTGGTCTTTATAAACATATTATCGCTCAGTAATTTAAAACAGAGAAGCAGAGATTGAGTGCAGCAGACTCACCTCTAGCCTTTGGGTCTGGTCTTTTCCTAGCAGATCTCGTACTTCTTCATTGTAAATTTCCAGGTAAGACACACGGACCAAAAACCTGTAGGAAAACAGAAGGGTGAGAAACCTTCAGCATTTCTTGAAGCCCAGCATACACAAACACATAGTGCAAAGAAAACAAAGCAACACCAACAGAGTCCTGCTCTATCCAGGCAGGAATTGCTTCAGTAGGAGCCTTTCAGCTGGCACAGAGGTAGAATTTCAGTTGCCACTGTCATGGCAAGGGCTTCCACCAGAGGGGCACAAACAAAAGACAGAGGTAGTAAAGAAAATATTTACCTTGTATCCCCCTCTGCCTTGGCAATGTGACCAAATATGTGGGCAAAGGAGTTGGGAATAATTCCTCTAAGCTCAGGAACTGCTCGGACCCCTTCCATAGTGAAAGTTTTCCCTGTGCCAGTCTGCCCATATGCAAAAATAGTACCTGAAGTACACACACAAAAAAAGAGTAATAAACTCTTAGAAGCTGGTAACCTTGCTGTTTTATCTCATCACTTATTTGCATGATACCACTTACATTTTTAGTTTTAATAGAGTTAAAGCTTGTCAGCTTCCTCTAATAGATACTGTGCAAAGACTAGGAGAAATAAAAATGCTGAATAACCACAGCAAACGGAGCTGAGCCACTGTTTTATCCAGCCTGCAAGATATTTAATGAATTCTGCTCCTTTTAAAGCTGCAGAAAGGTTAAAGAATAGAGCATAATTACAATTAAGACAAGCCCAATTAACAACACACTCAATTAGAAGAATTATATGCAAAATGCAAAACCAGCTATTCCCAGTATACTAAACCACAGCGGAAACAACGTGAGGCTTCTATAGCCAGGCCACATCACAAACCCAGTGCTGAACCCGCAGATGCAGCTCAGACAGATAGGAATCCACATAGGAAAACAGAGGGAATCTTGAGATTCCAGACCCAGGTTCTCCAGAAACACACTGCTGCTTGAATTTGGCCTGGCACTGCTGAAAACTTTAAGCAGACTTCTCTTGAATGGCAGGTCTAACCAGGGAAGCACAGCCAGGCACCTCTGCTTCAGACAGGCTCAATTTTACATCAACTAAAACCTGGGTGTGTTAGTACAGGAGCAGATTATGCACCTCACACAAACCTTTAGGAACTCTGTAACTTATTGTTGTTGTAACATTGTTATGGAAAGTAGCAATTTACTTCCTTACTGCCATCCACTTCCCTTACAAAGGACATTTACATGCAAAACAGATACACACAAGTGTGTATTGTGGTCACACTCAGTGGTAAAAAAAAATAAAAATAAAAGCAGCAGATTATTTGTGGGGTGCAGCAGATGTCTCTTAGTTTAAAACAGCAAGGTTTAGAGAGGAAAACACAGCCATTATATTTCAAGACTGGTGTGCATACCTAGTCATTGCAGGACCATGGCAGCTGCTTGGCTACTGAAACTTAAGGGCCCCGAGAATTCTGATAATGAAACAAAATGTATTTTTTTTCAAACAGAGATATAAAATGAAAAAAAAAGAAAAAAAAACATGTAGCTAATTAATCTCAGCTCATCAGTGATCACCTACTGTTAATGGTTACAGCATGTACAACCACGGTGGTAAAGGTCTGCAGGTGCCTGCAGCAGTTAGGCTGTTTTAAGTCAGAGGCCACAACAGAAACAACTCAGGGCTGCAGCCTTCGCTTCGGGAAATTTGCAGAGAGATCAGGAGGAATTCTCAAAATAGAAAGAGGACAAGACAGAACCCTTGACTTAAACCACGCAGGACTTACCGTTGTACCCTTCCAGGACAGAGTCAATAATAGGCCTTGCAGTTAAGTTATAGACATCCAGTTGTTTACTCTCTGGTCCAAAAACAGTGTCAAATGTAAAGGTCTTGGGGGGCTCGTTGGACGAGTCCGTTTTGTGCACAGTGATAGTTCCTCTCATCTCATCCACGTTGACTGCCATTTTGTAGCCCGTCGCCTTCTCGCGCTCGTTCAGGGGCCGGCAGCGCACAACAACCTTCACATTATCGCAGCTCTCCGGCCTGTCCAGCTTCTCGGCCTTGTTGATCTGTAATTATTCAAAACAGACACGCGCACAGCGCGTCACACCCAGCACGCGACGGGCCCGGCTGCTTGAGCACACGCTGCTGCTAGCTCACCTGCAGTAAATGAACATGGCCTGGAAAAGCCAGGAGCCTGGGGACTTAAGACAGAACTGGGGTATAACTAAGCCAGCAAGAATAATGTACATTTATTCAGTGAACTTAACCTCCATCCGTTCATCAATGTGGAAAGCCATTGAGCTAAGCTTGAATAATTCCGCATCCAAGATGATGTGCGGATTTCTCCAGGAAATAACTTCCCGCTTGCCAACGCCTCAGAGAGGCGACAAGCTTTAACCAGGGGCACCTCGGAACTGATGCTATGGCAAAGAATGCCGGAGTTTTGCTTTAATTATGCATTTGAATGCTATAAAAGGTTAAGCGTAAGATTTAACGAGGACACTCGTTTCATGCCAAGCGTTTCAACCCCACAGGCCGAGCCGAGG